CTTTGAAGAAGTTAGAAGAGCTTCACAATTCTATTGTGACAGCATGCCCTAATTCAGAACTACGAACGCGGATATTCATGACGATCCTTCGCGATGCAGTGGTCTCATGAAATAAGGAAACGTATTCGTGCTAGTAACACATGCACACGGATTTCGGACAAATAAATCTTGTTTGTATTTTGTAGATAATAATACTTTGTTTCATAATAAACAATTTGTCAACTGTCATTTATTTACTGGTAACAGTGCATGTTTCAGCCGGGCAAATGTTGATTAATATTTGATACGCCGTTTTTTGCATATTTCAGACACATCCAGAAATTAGCTCCCGGTTTTAAACATTAATATCTCCGTGAATTTTTAAGTGAAATACAACTCTAATATATCAAAATCTAAGTTAGTCCTTCCTCTATTTGATGCAAGTTATTTCTCTTTAAAAGCTTTAATTATTTAGAAGTTATTACGAATCAAACCGGAGTACTTTTTATATATATATATATATATGTATATATATATATATATATATATATATATATATATATATATATATATATATATATATATATATATATATATATATATATATATATATATATATATATATTATTATTATACTTTGCCATATATGAAGAACACCTGTATATAAATGATGATGGCTTATGGCAAAGATTATGAAGATTGCAGAAACATTGAGAATTGTTCTTAGTTTTTGTCTTAGTTTTAATTTTGTCTAGACATTTCGGTTAAACTTCTGCTAAAGCAGCCTTTACACAATCATACTCGTTTGTTTATTAAAGCACATACAAAATCCAGGGCCTTTTTTAACATACAAGCTGGGGGGGGGCAAGTGCCCCCCAATAATCAGTCCCATCCTTTGTGCCGCTCACAGAAATCACGTTGTGCAACCCCTCCCCAAATTTCAAATATTTTCTGGGGTATACTGAACCCCTCAAAGGGATTCATGTGGTATGTCTGACCACATGGCCATCCCCATAACATATTATCTCATAGAAGGTCCTTTTCAAGAAATGCCCCCACCACCTGCAGGAAAATCCTTAAAAAAAGGTCCAGATAAAATCTCGACAAATTTGTATATGTGTGTACTGTGTAAAAGCAAGCTTGGTCGGGCAAACAACCCCACCCCAAACAAGAACAGGCCCGCGCCATGCCCAGCCCCCCCCCATAAACCATTGAAAGCAACGTTCAGTCCGACCAAGGCTATACCAGCAACAACAGTTGCTAGACTGCAACGATATGCGATATTCCTTTCAGGGTTTGATTACGAGATTTAATATATACCGTAGTTTAACACAGCATTGTAATGCAGATGAACTGTCCCGTCTACCTCTAGGAACAACTGGAGATGAAGAAAATCAGTCTGTTAACCCTGTTGATATGTAACAGTTCGACATGTCACCTGTGACTTAATGTCAGCATGTACGCAAAGAAACCAGCTTCCTCATCCAAGTGTATGAGCATGTCATGAAAGGGTGGCATTAAAATAAAGACCCAAACCTGGGATCTTTATTCTTTACGAAAAATAGAAACACGCCACATAGCACTGGTAAACACCAGCAACTCTGTTCATGGGACGAAATTTACGCACACGGTTAGACTTGATCAAATGGGTTATTCGAAAGCATGTTAGAAACAAACACGTCAGCCAAACGAAACCCAAGGTGCTATTGCTGGTGCTATTGTACGTGAGCAGGCAGTGAGTGTCAGAAATTACAGAGGGAAGGAAACGTGGATTCAAGGCAATGTGCGTGCTCGAACCGGACTAGTGTCATATCAGGTAGAGATTGCACCAAATGTTATCTGGAAGAGACACATCGATCAGTAACTTCCCTCACTCAGAGAACATAACCGACACTCAAGATTTTGAACCAGTTACAGATATTTTGGCATTAGCCAAACAGTCTCTGCCGGCGGACATACAAGAGCAACAGAGGACTTAAACACCAAATTAAGAAACGAATGAAGTACATAACGTCACCAACGATATCCCGGTATCCAGAATTTGGTAGTGACGAATTAGACTAGGACTTGACAGTTAAAATAATACAGGGTAAGTATATGGTGAGAACACATCGTGGACGCCATAAAAACATTTACACTCTGTTATCAAGTTCTTATTAAGTTCTTATTACCATACTAATAATATACATAAAGATATTACTCGACTGTGATTGGTTAATTTCAGTGCAGTTAATCCCAAACAGCAGTGCAATTTTATGTAATTACAGTGCAATTTTCTGTAATCACAGTGCAAAAATCTGATTGGTGGAAAAACATTGTGATGATTAAATCAACCAATCAGTTTAAAGCGGATTAGTTTAAAGAAGTAACGGTAACAGATTGCTTCAAAACAAAAGAAACATGGCGCCACGTTACATAAATTGAAAGTTGACTTCGGTTGAAAAATATGGCTTTTATCTTTTTTTTTTCATGGAAAACCTTCGCCTTAAACAAGACTAACAAAATTTGGGAAAACTTTGCTAGTGGAATGTTCGCTATAGTTAAACGTAAGTTAAAACTATAATTGTCTCGAACATTTTCATTTAAATTATTAATAAGTAATAGGATGGTTTCTCGTGAAATTTGCATAAACATGCACTCGTGAGTTTTTCAAAGACCTCAAATAGCACTCGTCCCCCGGACTCGTGCTATTTTAAGGTCTTTGAAAAACTCATTGGCGCATATTATATCCAAATTGCACTCGAAACCATGCTATAACCTATACCATGGATAATAAAATAAATGGATAGGACTCTAGCTGACGTAAGCAAAAACAACCTAGTTGCAATCTGTGACGTCACGCGTATTGCAAAGTTCTCGGCATTTTTGTTGTTTCGCTAGACTTTCTGCTTTAAAAGAGTAATATTGAAGCATGAACTGGTCTAACTGTTTCAAAAACACGCCTAAGCCACGACAAAGTATTCAAAGTAAATATTTTTCGTCTTTGTTTTGTATTTTTTTACATTTGTAGCTACGAATGGGATGCATTTTTCACTGTTTAGTGCTTGAAATATTCGCTAAAATTGACTGGGAATACTTAGAGATTTCATTGTAGAATGGCGTAGTTATATTCATTTGCTCTTTGACTAAAATGTTTAGCTGTATTATTGCTAAACATGCCGTTTTTGAGAATTTGGTTTGCAACTAGGTTTCAACATCCAATCACGCCATCAGTCCATTGAAAACATTAGGTCACGTCAGCTAGTTTCCTATCCATTTATTTTATTATCCATGCCTATACTAATAAAATACATGAAAAAAATACAGTGCAAACTTTTTAATTTTCTTAATTTTGTATTTCCCAAATTTCGTAATTTTTTAATTTCTATATATGACTTACGCACGTGACTGCATAATTTATTCATGTATATTATTAGTATAAGTCATAGGAAGGTTTCGAGTGCAATTTGGACAAAACATGCACGAGTGAGTTTTTCAAAGAGCATCAAAATAGAACGAGCCCGAAGGACGACTATTTGAGGTCTTTGAAAAACTCACGAGTGCTTTATCCAAATTTCACGAGAAACCATCCCATTACCACGAATATAAATGTACTACGACCACACTACCATATACGCATGACTAACATATACGCATGATCAATTTAATTGTGGCGTCGCTAGCAATGGAATAAAGATTTACATATACATTTGAATTAAAACCCATTATTTAACACACAAACAAAATATAAAGATCACCAACACAACTTATCATACAGAGTAGTCACGTCTATAGTTAGCTAGCCTTTCCTTCCTTTGTCGACGATTCTTCCTTAATTTGTTTGGGAGTTATTTTAAAACAGCTGATACCCAAGTGATTACATATTTCAGTGATCACAGCATAGCAGTATTGAATTAAGATAAAAGACGAAACTATCTAAAAGAGACAGAAAATAGGATATAACTGGGTACTATTATAGGTGTAAGGTTTCTTGCAGGAGAGTAGGAACCAGGGAGTACAGGGGTCAAGTGCTCCCACCCACCCATTTTCTTTCAAAGGACCAAAAGTGCCCTTTTTGTAATGAAAAGTGCCCTTTTTGTACAAGCTAATGTCGCTGTAAATACTATATTAACATCTAAGGTGCCCTTTTTGTTTGGAAGTTTCGATGTTTTAAAAACAAATTTGGTCAAAAACGTTCATTGTACGTTGCAATTTGGTATGGTATGACCGGGAAATTTTCTTAGGCGCCCTTTTAATTATGCAATAGTTCCCCTGGAAGAGGAGGGCTGCCCTGGAAGAGGGGGGGGGGGGCCTTCCCCATCTTTTGATGCTTCCCTCGCCCCTGGCTGCTTGCACACATATCGAAGCCGAAGGTGAGTGAACGTACATTCAATCATAGTCAATAGAATAAGGTTAGGAAACTCGATGCTGCCATAATAGACCTCGTTATCTATGTTTTTGTATTGGTTCATGCAAAAAATGGTCGGTTCATCGTCACGTGTGTATTGTATTTTCGCCCAACACATTCTCAGAGTTTCCAGCCTATAGTGAAGATGAATTCAAGAACATTTACCAGGACTTTCAAGCTCGTTTTTTCAGTAAATTCAAGGACCTGAATTAAAACTTGAAAAATCTTTGAAAATGGGACGGATTTTGCTTTTTGAACAACTATACTTTTAGTCAAAATCAATTCTTGGGTTTCATATGACGTCACAGAAGGGGCGGGGGGGGGGGGGTCAACTCTAAAACAAAACACAGTTATCAGAGTGAGTCGATTGTTCGTTTTATGTATTATCCTGGTGTTTGGTGGCAAAAACATGGAATTTCGTATCATTCTCTCACTCCAGTACAGCATAAGCATCAATACATTTGAGGTTGACCCCCTGTCAGATTCACTGCATAATGCCGTAGCGAAATCCAAGGATAGATTATAAATACTGTTCAAGCATTATGAGCACAGCTGGAAAGGAATTCCAGGACTATGAACGACTGCACTAATTTTCAAGGACTTTCCTAGACTTCATTTATTGGGGTTTTTTTTTCGAATTTAAGGACTTTCCAGGATTTAATGTCCGTGGACACTGGACACCCTGATAATATTATATTAATCATAAATATAAACTTACCAGACAAACCCACAACAAACCATATTCACTCATTGGTGAGTTAAAATGGATATTTACTGCTTGAAAGAAGGGACATAACATTACGATATCGACCATTGGGATGGCACTTTTGGACATACACACAACCTAAGAAGAAGACACGATTGTCGAATTTGTGAACTGCATATATACAGTCAATTACAGCACTGCATTATGCAACAATCTTAGTGATTTAATGCACGAATGCATTTTCACCCACGAATACTTTAGGTAAATGCAGTTGGAACTATAAAGGCTGTTTGTGGCCATAGTTCGAACCCCCCTCTCCTTTTCTATAAGAGAGGCAGGGTATACACCATCTAAAACAAGACAGACATGCACAGGAGGAATTGGAATATTTTGTGTAATAACGCGTTGGGTTACTGAAATACAGAATAGTGGGTTGGTAAGAAAAAAACTGTAATGAAGATTGCGGAGCAAGATGTTTTTTTTTTCAAAGTGCAGAATTTCAATGCCGAATTCTTAAATTCTTAAAAGATCTTTCAGGGGCACTTTGGATAATATATACAATAACACTTGATAACTCCATGCCATTTGCAAACGTTAACCTGCCAAATTTTATTCTGTGAAACAGTGGTCGTAAAGGGAGGTGGGTGTGCAAAGTTTCGAGGAGAGATCCCTTTCCGAACTATATATGGGGCACAGTGGTTAGTGAATGTAAACGGGGTTGAATTACTGCAATATAGGCTTTGTAATCACCTTGCCTTCGGCAACTATAATTATTATTTGGTCCGGTGTTGCTACTAGAGGTAGAAAATTATAGGAACCTGATGTTTTATTTTTAATAGCCAATTCTATAGATGCTTGTTATGTTACTCTGAGTACACATCCACACCGGGCAAGCTTGAAAAATATGCTTGACCACGGTGGGAATCGAACCTACGACCTTTGGAATACCAGCCCAATGCTCTGCCAACTGAGCCACGCGGTCCGGTCGGTTCGAGCATGTGATATTTGGGAACAGAATCTAGTTCCTTCGATATCAATGTTATCTAATAATACCACATATTCGAACCGACATACCACATATTCCACATACCGAAATACCACATATTCGAACCGACCGGACCGCGTGGCTCAGTTGGCAGAGCATTGGGCTGGTATTCCAAAGGTCGTAGCTAGGTTCGATTCCCACCGTGGTCAGGCATATTTTTCAAGCTTGCCCGGTGTGGATATACACTCAGAGTAACATCACAAGCATCATATTCACCTGAGTACATTACACAAACACAGAAAAATCATGATAATTCTATAGAATTACTAAATACCTGATTATTGAATGATAGCGTAACAGTTTGGAACGAAAATATTCATGTAGCCTGCAGTACGAAATTTGTTTTTACATGAAATATTGTAACTATTATGTCAAATGACAACTTGATGATTCATCTTGTACAGTGCGCCTGTCAATCTTTACAGTCGATTTCACGAAACGTTGACCGCAAATGTTTCGAACTTCGTTCTGAAGTTCGGAAGCTCATATTGGAATTGACAAGCCAATTTGTAAACAAGTCCCCTGATTGGTCCCTGAAGTAAAAGAAGCCAATCAAATGCGTAGTTAACAAAATGGTTTGTGAATCTCATTATGAACTTTGAAACTTCGGAACGAACTTGCGAACTTCGCAACGAAGTTCGGAACATTTGTGGTCAAAGTTTCGTGAATTCGACTGTAAGACATACTACTTCATACGACAAAACATCTTAAGGAATATAATCCATGAAAGGTAAAAAAGACAGTTCCCTGTAATAATATATCGTAATCATTGACGGAAAATTTTGAGGCTTAAAGGTTCCCGGAAAGATAAAAACATTTCCCACCTCTGGTTGCTACAGGAGGAAGTCAGAGTCTCTCAAGTGAAACCACTGTGGACAGCGGTATCCGGCAGATTAAAAAGTAAATCGAAAGCCGATCACAGTCGTACATATGCCCAAGCCACTGAGCGACAAAACCCTATTGATATACATGTAATAATACGTTGCCATCAAAATGCTCTTCAACTAAGCCTTAAAACTTAGTAACTTACCAATAATACAATTGAAACTTTGGCCAATACAATGCCAAAGGCGAAGTCAAATAAGCATGGTGCTCTTACAAATGCATTGCTGTTAGAATAAGCATAATTGTAGTAGATCAGGTAGAGTGTGATTAATAGTGGTACTGCTGGCGATAGCACACTGGTGTCCTGGAAAGAACATAGATAAGTATTAATATTATACCTCAAATTCAAAGTGTCCAATCAGAAAGCCAATTTTGAGACACGTGAGCATAATAATGTCATACGTCATCGTATTTGACGTAGTAGGTCATTTCAATCATATCACACGAGATGATTTGATTATATTACTCGGGTGTTATGATTCGCGTAAACAACGCGCGGCGATCACGCAAACAAGATGGCCGATAAAATATAACAAGGAGTGATGAATTATTAGGTTTTCAAACTGCAAAGGAAGCTAAATTTTTAAATAGTGTAGCAAAATGTTTAACAATGTTATCATCAATATTCCAAATGATATGTGACTCAAAACAAAAGTGACAGATACTTGCGTTAAAAATAAAATAAAACATCGTACTCACGAAGGTAGCCTATGTGGCAAGTATTATATATTCAACTTGGAAACAGGTGGGAAATTTGTCTGAGCATGCGTGAGCAAAATGAGCCACGCAATTGCGTGAAATACACGCAACTTGTACTTACAAAAGGCCCAATTTTGTAAATAGGCCAAATTTTTGATACAAAATAAACGACTGTTTTATATTGAAAATGGACATGATCTAAATTAACTCATACAGAATTTTTAAGTGACGTTCTATTTCAGTACCCTGCCATTGTCCCTGGTGTGCTGTCCGTGTGCATTCGATCTGAAACAGTTTGCTACTTTACTGTCGAAACATTTCGAATGTTTACATGAAAATAGAGACAAGTCAAGCATTTTATAACCTCGTAAACTGTATGAGCCCCTATTTTTACGCTTATACCCAAGATATCAAATAAAAATACATGAAACAGAGAACATTTTTAGAACGTTTTATCGTGAGGCCACGGCCAGTTTTTAAAATATCTTCATTTCTTTTCCAGTTATCACCAGAATTACACTGAAGCGGGCTTGAATATACAACAAATTTTGAATCTCATCAAGTACAAAAATATTTAACGTGTAACCAAAATATGCTCATGAAATGGAAATTAAGAGCTAAATTTTCAAACTAGACCCTAATCGAGGAGGTTTTCATAAAGGAAGTTCACCTTTCGGCCTTTGATTCTTGGCAAAAATTTGACTACAACACGTGCGAAGCAACTGGGTCTCAAAGACTTAGCTAAAACATTGTGAGCCCCTATTTTCCTGACGATATGTTTGATACCTACAAACGCCGAAAAGGTTTTTCTTTTCATTTAGCTATATTTGAAATTGAGGCCACGGGCTATTTTTAACAAAATACAGTTCAAAGTCAAGCTATTTTTTTCAACATTTGTCAAATTTCGCGAGTTTGTATTTTGAACTTAGACTGCTGAAGTTATATTAAGAAACACACCTGTAGGATGGAAAATTTGAGCCATATAAATAAATTTCAACTTACATTTCATGCATTCTCATATCACGTTTTTAGTGCAAAGTTGACGAAGTCAAGTTTGTACTATTGTGATGGGGTGGAAGGCATTACGTCATTACGTGACTCAACAATGGTCGATCGATAGATGTATAGTGTAAACAATTCAAATATATTAAAAAATTTTCAAATAGGATTTTATATTTTTATTTACAACGACTGATGTTTTTTTGATTTACATTATCTAGCATTTAGAGAAACAATCATAAAATAAATATCAATTTTAAGATATGAATGGCTAATATGTGTAGGTACTTTCTCGTCCTCCGTGCAACAAAATAAAATGAAACAACACACGTGCTCTACACTGCGCCAATTTTAATATAGCGGTGTCAGAGGAGTCGCAGTACGATGTCCGTGTCGTGTATATAGAACGGGTCGATCAAAGTCAAAGATGCAGTCAATTTTAACCTTGTTTTTGTGCTTATATTATCTAACAAAAAAAAACACAGAGTGATACAGAATATAAAAAAGGCGCCTGTGGTCATGATCGTTTTGATATAAGTTACACATTTTATTAAAAATAACTCAATACCGTATACTACCTATAATGGGTCGTATAAGTATAAACAACTCCCATCTTATACTGCGATATTGTTGTAACTGTAAAATGGAAATTTTGCTCCGGAGAACAGGCATGCAAAGAGACTATGGTTCTTTAATGTTTATATTAAATAACGATGGCAGCTAATGTCATCGATCACATGCAGGCTCTGACAACGTCAAACGGGCAAATCTTACTGCATTTATATTTATATAAATGCAGTAAGTCTAAATTATTACATAAGACGTACTTAGTTATTGAATATCGTTATTTTGTCTTGAATATTAAGCCGTTCAACCCAAGCACATGGGTAAGCATCTGATCACAGGCGGCCCAATCTCTGAACGTCCTATATATTTTGAATATTTACTGTCGTTCCAAATGAAGTGTTGCTCAAATATTGATTCAATACAATACCTTGACCAATTCATTTGATCAAGTTCCTCGATATATTCATACACTTCCTAGTATAATTGTAAACTTCCTGTTGAATAGTTTGAATGCACCAATCACCTTTGTTGTTTGTGCAACTAACCAATCATAAATAGAAAGGAAGTGACCAGAAATGATCAAATACTTGGAATTGGCTCTTTCACAGGAAGTGTATGAATATCTCGAGGAACTTGTCAAATGAATTGGTCAGCCCGAGGTAATGTATTGAATCAATATTTGAGCAACACTTCAATTGGAACGACAGTAACCGTTATAATATTTTAAAATAACAAAATAATTCAAAAAATATTAACAATATATGTAAAAAATATATCTCACTTGTTAATAGAATCCATTTGTTGTGTTTCTGAGGCTAGTTGATGCGATTGCTTTACGTTTTCGTCGTACTTGAACGGTCGTCAGTACTATGGCACTGGACGACATGGCCGTATAGGACATAAATAACTACAAGGCTAGCCACTTATCTGATATACTCTCCGACATCGAGTCCAATATCTCGCCTCAGAATCGTCGCAGAGCAATAAATTTCGCATCGTCTAATAGCCACGAACGTTCCTCTTTCGAAAGAACTTGGTTTCTTCACCATTGCGGCAATTCCCACGACACACGACGATCTTTATTTGTCAAAAGTCCAAATTTCCATTTTCGACAGAGGCGCTAACCCCATGATCGTCGCCATGAGAGCTGCTCAGCAACCTGGCCTCCTCGTTTGAAAACATTCCATCAGGGGGGGGGAGAGGAGCTGGACTGGAATGAGGGGGATTTCAAAGCAACACGATAAAACACACGATATAAATGTTTAATACTTGTTTATTGTCGAATACAGCATGATAAAGTAATAATTTCTATTTATATCGTGTGTTTTATCGTGCTGCTTTGAAAGCCCCCTCATTCCAGTCCAGCTCCTCCCCCCCTGATGGAATGTTTTCAAACGAGGAGGCCAGGTTGCTGAGCAGCTCTCGTGGCGACGATCATGGGGTTAGCGCCTCTGTCGAAAATGGAAATTTGGACTTTTGACAAACAAAGTTCGTTGTGTGTCGCGGGAATTGCCGCAATGGTGAAGAAACCAAGTTCTTTCGAAAGAGGAACGTTGAACTTCGTGCTATTAGACGATGTGAAATGTATTGCTCTGCGACGATTCTGCGGCGAGATATTGGACTCGATGTCGGAGAGTATATCAGATACGTGGCTAGCCTTGTAGTTATTTATGTCCTAGTATGGCCATGTCGTTCAGTGCCAGTACTGACGACCGTTCAAGTACGACGAAAACGTAAAGCAATCGCATCAACTAGACTCAGAAACACAACAAATGGATTCTATTAACAAGTGAGTTATATTTTTTACATATATTGTTAATATTTTTTGAATTATTTTGCTATTTTAAAATATTATAACGGTTAAATATTCAAAATATATAGGACGTTCAAAGATTGGGCCGCCTGTGGCCTAAATAGACAATAGTATATTGAAAATCATTAGAAAATCCTGTGTTATTAATTTATTACGTTATATCTTTATATAATAGTATAATGAAAAGCACTTACATGTGTTTCCTGAAAGATTTTAACGAGAACCGGCCAAGATTGGCGTTGACAAGAGGATAACGGCCATAGTTGGGGTTGACATGAGGATTAACAGCAAGAAATAATACAAGGCTGGTCACTTTGACCGTTAATTGGACCGAAGTTCGCGTTATTGCCGTTATTCGATTGATTTCTGTCAGCGTTTGTCCCAATTAGTCCAATAACGGTCAAAGTGACAAGCCTTGTATTATTTCTTGCTGTTAATCCTCATGTCAACCCCAACTATGGCCGTTATCCTCTTGTCAACGCCAATCTTGGCCGGTTCTCGTTAAAATCTTTCAGGAAACACATGTAAGTGCTTTTCATTATACTATTATATAAAGATATAACGTAATAAATTAATAACACAGGATTTTCTAATGATTTTCAATATACTATTTATATAAAGATATAGCGTAATAAATTAATAACACAGGGTAAGATTGGGCCGCCTGTGATCTGATCAAGCGCTATATACTGTAAACAATGGCAATTGATAAAACTAGAATAGTGAAGCGAATAGTGCGAATAGTCGACGAATAGTGCGAATAGTCGACGAATAGTGCGAATAGTCCGCGAATAGTCGACGAATAGTACGAATAGTCCGCGAATAGTCGACGAATAGTGCGAATAGTCGACGAATAGTACGAATAGTCGACGAATAGTGCAATAGAGAATTTGCAAGGCTTTCCACCGTGCTGTAGAACTAAATTTACCGAAGCAGGGCGGGGGGGGGGGCTCTATTGACAAACATGAAATCGTGAAAACATTCGTTGATGTCAATGACGTCATACGTATTCGGTAAAAATTACGGGACCACTGAGTTTTAACAAATATTTAAGGTGGAATGACCCTCAAATTTTTTTTTTATATTTAAAACTAGAAATAAAGTTGAAATGGTATATTATGAAAGCCCATCGAAAAGTATTTACATTTATGTGAGTCCGACATATGCTGTTGCCATGGTTACCAAGATAACAGCTCGAAACGCCTTGCAGCGGACCATTGCGCCAACGATCATAACTCGAAAGCAATTTAAGATTTGTCTATGAAACTTTGGGAAAATAATAAGCACTACCAGACCCATGCAATGAACTAAAAGATTTTAAATCAGGTAAATAGTTTCTAAGTTCTGAATGAAACAATATATGTGCCTGAAATTTAGTCATGATCAGCATGAATTTTTGCTTATAGCACAAAAAGTATTTGACCTAATGACTTCATTCTATTTCATTGCATAGCTTTTGATGAAGTAAACATCCTCTGAAAATTTTAGCCAAATCTGTTAAATTGTTTTTGAGATATCATTGTTGGCAGATTACAAACCTTGCGAAAATTGTTTATTTGAGAAAATACAGTTTAAACTTTTCATACTATGTAATTGGCTACCAAAAACACTTCATGTCCCTAAAAGTCAATAGAAGTCTCCAGCACCATACTTTACTCCCTCCCCCTGTTTGTTTTTGTCACACTTTTGTTTTTTTCAGTCCTCTCATCACTTTACGCCTCTTTTTAACTTCGGGCGTGGATTTGTGTTCTGCATGCGAAACTCTCAACTTGTCTTCAAGTTGACAAGCCACTTCTGTATACTTGCCAGGAGTAATATCCAGTAGATTTAAAAGTTCAATGATTGCCTCTTTTGCAAAATGTAGTCAGTGACTCACTGTCTCAACATCAATAACTTTCCCGCTATCCATCGACATAACCGTAACACGCCCTTTACATGATGAATGTCCCCTTCGTTGCCAGGTACCGTCACATCAAATACCACAGTTTACAGGATTTGTTCCATCAACATCTTCACTTCAAAACACACACTTCTTTTGCAGCTGCTTTCATGCTCTTCTTAGCAACTGTCTTTGCATGCTTAGCAATGACACGAGATGACTTTTTGAAAGACTTTGGTCTAGGTGGTGGTGGTGGCATGTTCATGACAGAGCAAACCTTTGATGCACCAGCATGACCTTTGCCAATCATTCGCATTCCATACACTAATCGTCAATTTACCTCAAAACTCTTTTGTTTTTCGTTTTGAAATCCAAGACAAATGCATCCATTTGCAGTTTTGGTAAGTGAGGTGGAATTTAGAAGCACAACCTTCACGTTTGATACTATGCCCTCATCAGCACTCAAAGAAACCTCGCTTTCCTCGTTATTTTCTTGCATAACTGGCTCGCCCTCTCCCTCATATTCAATGCGAGAACGTTTAGCATGTCGATTGCCACAAAATTGGCGTTTTTTACGCTTCTGTGTAGCAAATTTTCCCATTTTATTTTCGCAAAATAACTCTCGATCACAATTGTTAGCTAAGAATGTTGTTTTTTTCGTCTGCGCGTTTCGTAGGGGGCCTGGGGAAAAGCTTAGATTCGAGCCCAGTCTTCCCTAAATACCCCACGCTTTTTACGGAAAATTTTGTAAATAAATTCGCTTTTATAGGCAAAAAACAAAGGGTAAACAAAATTGTTTCCATAGCAACGAGTGAATATCCAGTAAAAAACCCTTAAAATAAACACATTTTAGGCTTAAAATCATGGAGCAAGCAACATAGGAGTATATTTTGATAACATAGGCATCATATAAAACCAAAAAAAAAAATAATAATTTTTTCAAAAATTTGAGAAAAATTTGA